TCTGCAACAAGTCCGCAAACAGTCCGTGAGAAGGTGCAAAACAACAGTGAGTCACATAGAGCAACATATACAGTACTGTACTCCATGTATATAAAAAAATATATAATTTTTTTTAATGAATATGTTTGAAAAAATCCGCGATGCACCGAATCCGCGATAATCGAATCGCAAAATAGCGAGGGATCACTGTCCAGTAATTAAGAGGGGGAAATTATTTAGTGTGTCCACACCTACACTCCACACACACACACACACACACACACACACACACACACACACACACACACACACACTTTTTATTTAATATCAAGATTTCTGGGAAGACTCATGCGAAGGAAATAACACACGGGCAGCTAAAACAACTTGAAAGAACAATCAAACCTGATTGGGGCACTAAAGTGAAAGATAAGTGACAATCAAGTGCAATGGCGGCCTCCAATAAACATGACTCAGATCTCATTTAGTCGCGGTCGTGTCATTTATTAACACAAATTAGGAAGTAGTTAATAATATTGGTATTTCCTACAGTTTTTATTTTAACTTGAACGTCACATGAGGTGAATTCTTCAACAAGATGGAGAGAGCTCACCGGACAGGGAGGACCGAACTCGGGAGACTCCTAGGCCAGTTGTGGTGGCATTTGAAACAATGAAAAGGACAGAACAAGGATCCTGCAGAATACTTAAAAGGCTCCAACACCGATGTAAATGAGGACTTTACAGATGCCTTGTGTCAAAAAAGAAAAGAACTTCTTCCAAAATTAAAAGCTGCACGTGACAGAGGGGACATTGCCTCCCGGGCCACATAAAATGATGTGGCGGGCCAGATCTGGCCCCCGGGCCTTGAGTTTGACACATTATGTACTAAATGAATGATCTATTATTATACTACTATTTGTTTTTCTTTTCCTTTTAAGTTTTTTTTTTACTTCCCCTTTAGTTCCTGCCACATTTCTGCTATTTATATGTTCACTAAACAAACAAACAAACTCTTTGAACAAATAACCTCCTCAATAAGATATCTACTCATATGTTAGTAAATAAACTACAAATGCTGACACTATAATGACGGACTGTGTATTGGGTTCTGGAGTTTGTCAACGGGTTGTTTGTATAGAACAAGATGTGCACGTTCTCCTCACGGCTACCGTTGCTAACAGTTAGCAAGCTTCGCAACTGATGACCAGGGCGCATGAAAACACCCAACCGTGAATATTTGTCCACAAAGAAGAATTGGTATGATGTTTTAAGGGTGCATTGTGGGTAAAAAAACATAAACTTACTGATGCGCTGTCAGACGCCCGCTTGAGTTTTACTGCTATGCCACTGCCACGCAAAAAAAAATTCCCAACACACGTGATGTGATCCCAGCAGCAGCAGCAGATAAAGTTGCAACCGGGCGAGAGACGTTCAAGATCACAAATGTCGCGTAGTGTTGTAAAACGGAGCATAAATACCACTCATAGCGAAATGATTCAAAACTAATTTTTGATTTCGTGTACATTTGATCATGTGATCCAAAATATTCTGATCAACATTAAAGTCGTCATCCGGCCAGGATGGCCATTTTTCACGAACAAGCTCAATTTAGCTATGTATTTTTTTTTAAATCAGGAAAATCAATCTGTTTTGGAAAAATCAATGAAAAAACAACGACTTTTAAACCACCCTCTTTTAAGGGGGTCAATTTTCGTGCTGACATCATTTTGTTCAACCCACTTTAGTGTCCCTTTAAATCACTGTAGCAATGTAATTCCAAGGATTCACCAGACGAGTAATTTCAAAAAGTACGTCTGATATAATTGTAAACCAGAGTAAAAATCATCATGCACAGTTTAACCATTATCACTCTGCTTAAATATGGGAAAAGTACCACAAAACAAAAACTGCACTTAATGATGCATTTAAATATACTTCATATACACGTTAAATAAACATTGTACCTAATTTATTTTAATACGCGAATATTTGAAGTTTAAATGCAAATGCATTGGATTTAAAAGTTAAATCGCTGAACTGTATTCAGATAGTAATATTTTTGTACACCACTAGAGGGAGCATACCAATCTTTGATAACACTGAGGAACACAAATTTTGTAGGGTTAGGTCTGACAACGTTTTTAACTCATTTTGGCTGCGAAATCCAAAATTGGTCTACTTTTTTACCTAACACGTCAAGGTTTATATAGGATCACCGTTTTCTTTAGAAATATGAAATAAATGTACTTACACCTCGAAATATGATTTCGACACTTCCACACCGCCTCAAACGACGACCATGATCATCAACAGTTAAAAAATGGCAGTTTGTGGTCATTTAAATACATTTTTAATATTTTAATATATTGAAGAACATGCCACTCGAGTGTTTGCATAAATTTCCCAACAGTAGAACTTCTGAAATAAAAAGGGACATTACCATTCAATCGGTGGGTTTTTTTTTAATTCTTAGATACTGCCCACGTAAAAACCTCTTTTAAATGACAAAATGCATTCCTCTTTTTATTTTTAGATGATAACGTAAAAAAAAATTAAAAAACGATGCGTTAATTTCCCTTATTTAATTTTGGTTGAGCTGCGCTTCCACCTTTTGTTCCCCTTTTGGTTTATATTATGCATCGACAATGTTATTCTTGGATTGTAAGTTTCTCCATATATAGCTTTAAATTTTGCAGTTCTTGCTGTTTTAATTCCAAGATACCTCATTTGGTTCTTCATTTACCGTGACAAACTGACACATTCATATCACGATATGAATGTGTCAGTTTCTGAGTGACGTGCAAAGTGTGACAAAGACGACAGAAAATTTAACTTGTGTGTGTGTGTGTGTGTGTATGCCAGTTTATTGACGTGGAAAAGATTCAATACACAATTTAAATAAAATAACCCAGAAACTGGAAAAAGGGCTCCCAACATGACAGTGTCTATACAGCACAACACGGAAAAGATCCATAGACCAGACTTGTGAAATCCAAGTCAGAAGCACTTCTACATATAAACAGTACGGAGTTGCGCGTTCACTGTTGTGTCATCTTGGCTGCCTCGGCTTTGATGAGGGAGATGAGTTCCAGGTTGATTAGAAACACGAAGCGAAGTCCCGCGATCTATAGAAAGAGATGCGGTATGTTCACGCCATACGTCGCATACTGTATAACTTGTCTGATAACCTCGACACGCACCTCCACCACTGAGTTGTTGTTTAGTTTCCACTTGTTACCGGACAGGACCGGTCTGCCATCGATGTAGATGGGTCGTCTGCCCTCATTGGCGATGAAGAAATCCCCGTTATTCTTCAGTTTAATAATTCCTGCAAACATCAACTGTCATTCCCCCCTCACGCGTTGGGATTTCCACCTCCTTATCATGTTCAATCACCTTGCTTTCTTGATATTTTCCAGGCGGGCCCCTCTAATGACAGATCCACATCAATCTGTTTATCTTTGGTTGCACGGCCCAGCGTAATCTGAGGGAGGAGAAATGAAGAGAATCTAAGAAACATACGGTACTTGAGCGCACCTTGATGAGCTCTTAAGGGTACACTAGTCACAGTGTGTTTGACCTACCTCTCGGGATCTCATGAGGTAGCGTACCATCCGTCCTCTGAGAGCGGCCAGCGTCTGGTTGTCAAAGTCAGGCATGCTCATCCCTGTCACACCCAGTTGCAGTTTGGTGCAGTACAATGTAAAAAAAAATAAAAATAAAATTAAAATGTAAATGTAAGTTTAAAAAAAACAAACAAAAAAAAAAGCACTCAATATTTTGGGTGAAATTAAATTAAAAAACAAAACAAAAAAATGATTTCTGCTATTTTTCTCCTTCCTTCCAAAATGAAATTTCATCAATTTCTGTTCTCTGCTTCTTACCAGAAATTAAAAGCCACTTGTTCTTTTTTTTTTTTTTTTTTAAATTAAAAATAAAAAGCTGCTAGCACAGTCAGAATTTAGCAACACGGTGCTTTTCTGAACTAGCTCCTTTGAGTTCACAGTCATGTGGTTTGGGTAAAAAGTGCATGTCTGCATGCGCTTTTTAAATATGCAAATCATCCTGACAAACTTGTTTTAAATTCAAATGAATCCATAAAATCGATTCATCGACATGTCATTTAATGAAAGGCCCAACGTTCTACCTGTGATACTGTCCACAAGGACCTGCCAGCGGGGCAACTCTTGCTCCAACTGCCTGATTTCCCTTTTTTGGTGGCGATCAGATATCATCAGTTCTGGAAAAGGAAAGCAGATTTTTTTTCATTCTTTCAAGCCGGCCAATGACCGTAATGATGCAAAATCAAACTTTGACTGCTCCTACCGTGTTCCAATACTTCATCTCTACTCTCCCTGGATGTGAAGACAAGTTGACAAATGGATTAGAGGTGTAAAAAGCATCCATTTTCACCAGGACACACGGCCTTGCAATAATCGGAGCGTTTTGGGGCATAATGACCCCCCCAAAGAAAGCGAGTGATTTTTGGGAAGAACAATTCTAAAAAGGGATTTCAAGAGGCCTTTTGCTTCGGCCCGAATAACTATAGAAAAATGCTCATTTGTTTTCAAATTCCAATTTTGTCACAAGTCACAAAATGAACACAGAAATCAAAATTGAAGCATGCCTTACTTTAACTTGACATCATCAACAATCTGCTCGGCGTCAGAGAAGTTCAGGACTTGGTCCCCCTTTGGGAGCGGCTGGACTGCAACACAACACACTTATTCACCACACAACAAATATCCATTTATCCATTTTCTGATCCGCTTTATCTTCACGAGGGTCGCGAGGCATGCTGGAACCTGTCCCAGCTAACTTCGGGCAGTAGGCGGGGGACACCCTGAACCGGTTGCCAGCCAATCGCAGGGCACACACAGACGAACAACCATCCACGCTCACACTCACACCTTGGGACAACGTAGAGTGTTCAATCAGCCTGCCATGCATGTTTTTTGGAATGTGGGAGGAAACCGGAGTACCCGGAGAAAACCCGTGGGACGGAGGTGTACATGCCAACCCCACACAGGCAGGCAGGAGCCGGAATCGAACCTGGAACCTCTGCACTGTGAGGTCGACGCGCTAACCTCTGGACCACTTCACAACAAATATGTATGCAAATATTTACAGCACAATGTATCTTGTTTGTTTTTGTTATTAAAGTTCAGTTTGCAAAAAAAAAAACAATTGCTATGTCAACTGGATTGACACCGAGGGAGTTGAATCATTTCAAATGATGACAAATGCAGTGAATGGAATTGAGTGGATCCTGTCCACAATCAATCAATCAAGAAAATCGAAAAGACAAATGATATCTTAACAATATCAGAAGTCAATATGTAGTCAAATCTGTTCAGTAAAGTCTATTAAGTTTACTTGTTTGTGTGACGACAGCGAGGAGACAATATTTGGTTTGGATGTTTGGGCCGACTCACCACTCTGGTCATCCAGTAGGTAGTACTGCTTCAGAAGCTGCCAGTGGAGCAGCAGACTTTTGGGGGTTCGTGACTGGTGAAAAACACTCGGGTGTTTACTCAGAAGATCCTGGAATGTGTCTAATTTGGGCTGACTCGTCTGTGTGATGACAAGACAAAGAAACACGCAGCTAATGCAATTGTAATATGACAATAGTGAGGCAATGATAAGAGAATGGCGTTCACTGACCGAGCCAATCTTGGCCAGTAGTACTTCCTCAGCCTGGCTGAAAAGAGCTTTACTTTGTATTGCCGCTACGGCTTCGGGATGAAGCTGCCGCATCGCCTGCCAAGCAAGTCTTAACAGCCACGACCGCGGGGGGAGGAAGAGGAAAGCCAAGGGCGGAATATGTCAGCACAGCTGAAGGAGAATACGCTGCCTGCCCGCCCGCCCGACGTCTTACTTTGAGATGACGGGATCGTACAGCAGTGAGTACCACCGCTCTTTAATTTCTCTCAGAGTGAAGCGACAGCTGAACTTGACGCCCAAATGGACAGATGTGAGGTCTGTTGTCTGCAGAATTATAACCATATATTCACATCCAGGAGATTGAGACTTCATTACATCTACACAATCTATTTTAATTTAATTGACTTTCATTTTTGGGACTAATGAGATCGAATTTAGCCTCCCTATTTGCTCGGCAAACAGTATCATCATAACTGTTGAACGTTCAATCTGCACTTCGATAAAATGAAAAATACAATCATTGTAATAATGATTTGTTATAATGTGCTGCGTGTAAATGTTAAATAAAAACGAACTAGATTAAAGTTTGAAACTCACCTGCAGCACGGCATTAATAAGCAGCAGGTCATCTGTCGGCTTCCAGCGACCCAAGTCTTTAGTCATGTGGAGCGGTTGTTTACTTTTCTTCACTCTTTTGGTGATCGACGTAGGATGCATTAGCATTGTGAGAGGCGGCGTCAAAGACGGTCCCGATTTTGCCACCTGAAAAGACATGATGAGGTAAAAAAACAAAAACAAAACAAAGATTAGAATTAAAATCAAAGTTTCACATCTGTTTTTCCACTCCCGCTATTTCTCGTTACCTTCTTTTTCTCGCTGGAAGAAGGCTCACTACCCGAGCAGCGTAAAGGCTCCATGAGAGGAGGACCTTTAACGCGACTCGTTGATTTGACGAGGCTGCTTTCCACCAGTTCATCGTCAAACTTCTTCCTCTTTATTGATCTGCGGGTGTCGTTGGACAACATTGACACTGTAGATTCAGTACACTAGACTATCACGAGGCTCAAGATGCAACACATCTACATCTTTACTTATTCCGAACGGAATATGAGGATCGAGCCAGAACACAACAATAGATTGAAAGTAACCTGGAGGAACTTCTGCGTTTGGGAACGCCACTGCCAAATGCTTGCGTCGCCGTCCTTTTTACATCTTTTATGACAAGCGACTCTTCGTCTTCTGAGCGGCTGTGTGAACTTGCTACCGCCATTGGCACACCAGGCTCAACCGCTTGCATCTGCTCAAACAGAACAAAAGTCAGAAGTACACGACATGTGTTTGCCTTCCCAGCGAACGATCACTTCACATGCAGAAATAAAGTAGATATTTTAACAAACTATGGGATGGACTATGATAAGCATTTATTAACACTGCTAGATTCAAGTGATACAGGAGACAGCAAAACGTGGATGCATTGTATGTCACGACAGTGAAAAAAAATCCCAAAAACCACAACGAATACAATATATTAAGTTTGGATTTAGGCTGTTTCCAAATGTGGACAATGAGATGCTTGATATCACTGAAGTACATTAATTAGCATTGTGCAAGCGGCTTCTTTCAGAAATTCAGCTGAAATGTACGATAGATGTAAATAGAAAACACTGTCAAGATGAAACTTCAGCAATATGGAATTAACATCATCTCACTGTGATCCTACTATTCAAATGGAGCGGAAACAATATTCCATCTGTTTTGGGATTGTGTTTATGCTTGGATTTTTTTTGGACTCACTTGCATCATTTTATCCATTTCAAATTTGAACCCTCAATGAAAATACACTTTAGAAATGTTCTGATGTCTAATTTGGATCAAATAGTTTGCTAGGGTACGACATAAGTTCTATGAACCCCAAAACCTTTCGGAACAGAAAACTGTAAATACTGCAGTTTATATTAAGGAAAAAACCTCAAGACGTTTCTCCCCGATTTCTTTAATTTATATGCTTTATGTGGACTGTTCTATTTTATAGTGTTCCTGTATATTGTTGTTTGCAACAAGGTTTGTATTAAAAAAACATAAATGGACAGCTCCCAAAACAACATGTTTTTCCGAAGATGTTTCCTTAATAATGAGTGAACCTAAAACTTGTCTACAAATGTCAACAACTTTTCCAAAATACTTAAGATGTGCGCGGCTAAAAAAAATAATAACGGAAAAACATGTCGCCCTTTTGGACAAACTAATGCAGGCGATGCCACTTTCCTTTGCAGCTCGTATTTTTGTTTACATGTGAGCGTTAGCCACAGGGCCGACCCAACGAACAAAACCCGCTCGACTCCGTCATATCTGCTCTGACGATCAATGCAAAACAACATTAATGTGAATCGTACTTGCTTGATTTCATTTCAATAACGGGTTGGGTGTGTTTTCCAGGCCAGTATTTGTTGAGCTAAATACTGTAATTGCTCCAATGTGAGCTAAAGTTAGCCTCTATTGATTAGCAAGCTAATACTAGCGAGGTGCACGTTCTCGTGACTCACCGTTCCTTCGTTGGTTTATTGTGATATTAGATCCAGTATTTGACTGCGTGTGTATTGTATATCGATACGTAGTTCATCAAAGCAGTGTAAGTGGTTTCTTGACTGAACTACATAGCGTCATCGGGACAAAAATCAGTTAGCATTAAGCTCGTTGTAGTCATATTTTCTTCTTCTTCTTGTGCGGAAACGGGGAGGTCGGTTAAAATGTTCACGGCGCAATAGCGACACCCTGTGGACTGGACGGACAGCAGCGTGGTACAGTTCAAAAGAAATTGGTTTTATTACAATGTAACCCACAACGACATTACTTCTGCAAAATTACAATAAAAATGTGAAATAACATTGACTGTGTTTTGTTTTATATTAATATTTGTTGTTGTATTTTCAATATGAATTATATAAAAATATGAAAAAAATAATAAAATACGATTAAAAAACTGGTGAAAACAACCACAAAGAAAAAATTGGAAGTGACGTTTTAACTTTAAAAAAAAAAATCATCTATGAATAATTTGACTGCAAATAATCCACTCCAGGCCAATGGAAAAGCCAAAAGTAAGTTCACTCATTTATTTCTCTCGATATTCGATAATATTTCAACCATGAATGGTGGATGAATGAGTACAGTCTTCTATCCAAAATTATTTTAAATTACAAAAATACAAAACTTTGCTAATTCTATGCTAAAAACTCAGTCCTGTTACTCAAACGACAATAACAACAATAAAACAAAGATAAAATAAAATGGTGTCCGAGATGGGTCAATAAATACAATACATGCCGTCATATACTAGCAGGTTGAGACCGTATATTTACAGTAGCCATATATCATTTTCATTTTGACGCATTGTCTGTTGCAAAAGCAAACATAATGAGTGCAGTCCAGATGCAAGAACTTTGACATCCAACACCAGATTTCTGAGAAATGTCTGTCTATGTGCCAAAGTTTAGCTACTGGCTTGCCAGTTCTAAGAACGTCGAATCATTTAGGTTCGACCGAAATAGTAGGGTTGATGATATATATTTGGGCAATACATTGGCAAAAATTAACACACACGCACACACACAGATCAGTGGTCATGTACCTGGGATTTATTGTCATGTAGTTTCAAAGTTCCATGTTAAATTACAATAAATACAGAATTCAGACACTAATGTTGCTCCGTTTCCAAAGTGTAAAAAAAAAAAGAAAGTAAGAATTGCCTTAACAGTACAGTCAGATATACAAAGTGAATTCAAAATCTTTGCACCATGATTGTTTATGCAGAGACCTTTTCTAACAGCTGCCAGTAGGTTGCAGATTTTTCAAAAGAACCCCATCCCCAATCTTTTTTTTTTTTCAACATGACCGCATTACGACAATGTTTTTCATAAACACATCAATATTGCTAGTGTCCAGTCATCATTTTGACTAAGCCTGAATAACTTTTTGTCATGCTCCTTGTGATTTCACAAAACATGTACAGCGGAAGGTCCAAAGTGGAATGCCCCCAATAGTCACACAATTTGGGGTTTAATCAAGACAATCTCAAAAGTCAAACACAACCTGGAGTTCAATCGTCACATGTGACATTGAACAAAACAGTTGCTTATCATTTTTGCACGTGGTTTTTTTTTTTGTGTGTGTGTGTGTGTGTGTGTGTGTGTGTGTGTGATGTTGGCACAGATGAACTGTGATGGCAAAAAAAAAAAGTGGTGATAGCCACATAACTGTAAATGGAATTTCCTCAAAAACTTAAAATCACCTGGCTGCTCAACTAAGCAGCACAAATAATAACATATCAAATACCAACACAAATTAATTATACTTAGCAGATCCTTATGTAAATAACATTTTATGACTACTAATTCAAACAGGACAGTATAAAACACCACTAGGTAACAGTATCGCTCTGCACACAACTTGTGTGCCCTCTATTTTTTCACAGGTCAGTATTTTTTGCTGTATTCAGTTTTATTTGACAGAAGTCAACTTTTTTTTTTTTTAACATTTATGCACGTGATTTAAGAATAAGAAAATTGTACTTAAAAACACTACCTGTACAGTTCATAAAGCTTGCATGATAATGACATTATGAGCCTGGAATTCACTGATGGCCCTGATTCCCTGTGAGAAATCGTTTTAGAAATTATTTTTGAAAGTCGACTAGCGCTACGTGCTTGGTAAGAGTGGTCATATCATGAATGGACTCAGTTCTTAATCACTCCTGTTTCATTTGATCAAAAACAAAAGTCAGCTCCGAGGGATTAACAGGTTGAGTTATTAAAAAAAAAAAGAAAAGAAACGTGGTCTAAGGAGAATCTATTGAACGACATTCATGGGAGCTCTGACTTTGTGCAAATATGCATTATCACAACCTAAAGGCAAGCTAAACTCCCATGGAGTGCCTGGGCCGCTGTACTCAACTCCAGAGGTGTCTTGTGGGCCTTTTAGCCTTTCTGACATGATTCTGAAAAGGTCCCCGCCTGCCCACGTGCTTTGTGCTCTTGAGAGCTGTGGTCACTTTGACGTAACTCAGCCCGCTCAGAGGAGTGAGTCATCGTTCAACAAACTGCAGGTTAATGACATTTTCAGGAACGAGCAGCGTCCGTGTCATGGGTTTCACAGAAACCCCTTTCGGGTCTGGCCGCACGTCAAACTCTATCAGGATCTATTGAGACCAGAAACACAGAACAGAGACTGATTAGCATACATGAAAACCACACGACGCACACGCACAGGCACACGCGCACACGCGCACACACACACACACACACACACACACACACACTATTCCTTCTAGCTTTTCAACAGAGAGTGACTCCACAGGGGGGTGCAATTTCCCCTTACAAACGATCATGATTGACATCATGATGGCAATAAAAAAATTATTTCATGCAGCATTTTAAGGCGCACTGACTGCCCCCCCACCCCCCAGCACCCTTCGAAGTGCCATCCAGTGCAGCCGCACATATTGCATATACCAGAAACTGCCACTGGAGATAATAAATAAATAAGTAAATTGAATGAGATGAATGGAAAATGAAAAAAAAAAAATATATATATATATATATATATATATTCTAGAAAATGATACAATGATTAAAAAATAAATTGTGGATCAATTACATAAAATTTAATCTTTCGGGACTTTTAAATTTTGGATGGAGAGCCAGCCCTCATTTTTGGTGGAAAATGCTGATTGGAGATTTAGCTCTTTTTTTTTCCAATATATACAGTATATTTATTTTGGGGGCATGGTGGGTTAAAAAGTCAGTCAAATCAAGGCATTGCTACCTTTTAAAAAAATGCTGAAAATGATGAAATGTTATTCAGTTTTATGAGAGGGTCAATACAGCTGCGTGATCAGTGGGTAAATGAGGAAGACAGTGTAAAGCGAGTACCAAAGGTAGAAAAGCGCGATATAAGTGACAGTCCATTTACAAAATAGTTTAAAGCATCCCTCATTATGGTACAGTTTAGTTTGACACCATTCCAAACTCATCAATCCAGATGGATGTTGAAGGAACAAAAATAAGCGTGTTCTCACCCTGGCGATAGCAAGGTAGAGTTCCAGCTCCGCAATGCGTCGGCCTATGCAGCTGCGTTTTCCCACCCCGAAAGGCACAGAGGCGTATGGGTGATGACTCTGGTCCTTTGTCAACCATCTGCGCGGCAGGAACTCGTTTGGATTTGGAAACACGGTCGGATCGCGTGATGTTGCAAAGTGGCACAGTGTAATCAGGGTCTGGAAGGTGTGATTCTAGCGTTAAAAAAGTTTGATGGTGATGATGATTCGGCTGAATTTGATCAGACTCCTTTAAAAACTCCTCACATTTTTAGGAATGAGGTAGCCTCCAACCTGGATGTCTCTCTCAGTGATGACTCGAGCATTCGCAGGAATCACTGGATACAACCTGTAAAAAGTCCCCAGTTTTGAGCATGATCAAAGTTGCCCATTCCAACATGGCTTTTTTTTTTTGGAGCAATCGTACCTGAGCACTTCTTTGACTACAGCCTTCATAAGAGGCATGCGTGCTACATCTGCTGCCTGAGGCACCTTCCTGCCTTCCAGGACGCTCAGAACTTCATCGCGTAGTGATGCTTGCACCGCAGGGTGACGCGACAGCTCGTACAGCGACCAGGACATTGTGCCGGATATCTGAAAATAACACAAAAATACAGTACAATACATCCATTTTCAACATCGCTTATCCCGACGAGCGTCGCGAGGAGTTGCTGGAAGCTACCGCAGCTGACACACATTTGCTACAAGCTAAGTTTGAAAGTAACCAAGAAGCTGCAGCGTCCATTGACGAAAAAAGAGATTGGTTCGGGGTTCACTTCTCCTGTCCCATGTAAATCCGCTTCAATTCCAAGCACTCAGTCTCGGTTCCAAATACACATCTGCGTTCCACGCCGACGGTCCTCTCTCGGCCTTATTTTGATGTCGATACCAGTCACTAAAACCAAGGCGCCCCCTTGTGGCCGTTTATGGCATAACGTCAGTAGTATGCATGGCTGACTGAACATTTTTAAAAATTAACCGTATCCCTGTAAATCCTCTCCTATGCTCATTAAGTTGCAATTTTTGTAGTCAGTTGTATGTTAATAATGTTCATATTCTTGCTCAGAGTGCTTTATTATTGTGTTGCTAACTCAATTTGGGTGGTATATTGACTTTCTCCATGATGGTATTTCATTCATATACTTATTTTGCAGATTTGGCTGCTATCATTGACTGAGAACAATAAATTATTGATATTACTCAGTGGATTAATAAGGTCAATTTTTCTTGGTGAATGCAGTTCAGCCAACTCAGAGCTTTTGCTGGCCCGTGTGTATTCTTCAGAGTTCTGGACAGGTTGACTGCTGTTTTGTACTTGTACGTACGTATATTTTGTAACATGAATGGTATTTTCTCTTTGGATGGTTGTTTTCTATGATATTTTATTCTTAATCCATTTAATATATTCCTTATTTTGAACATGTGAAAAAAATGTATCGTCATCAATATTGGCTGTTATGAAATGCTTACATCGACACTTTATAGCATGACACTTCATAGCATCATCTTATTTTGCACTTCAATTTATTTTTGACTAAAACTCAGGGAGCTGTCAGCTTCATTTCACACTGGTGTACGTTCGTTACAATTAATCCTAAATTCAGAGTTAGTTGTTTGCGCTTGATTTAGGAGTTCATTTCTTTATTGCAGAACGACCGTTCTGCCTTTTGCCAGAAATCAATCAGGTCTTTGTTTAAATTGATCACTGGTTTAAGAGAAATCTTATGTATCAAAAGTACTAGTGGTATCGGTTACTTGGTATCAGTATCAGTGAGTACTCAAGAGTTGTACGCTCATAATGATATCATTCTGAAAAACTATGTTATCAAACATGGTTCTTTTTTCACATTAGTACCTTCCAATATCAGACATCATTGATGGTTTCTATAATCACAACGCGATAGTGATGGTATTACACAGTCCCTTCCGAAGACCCAGGTTCCAAATACTTACGGTGTCGACGCCTGCAAGCAGCAGCTCTGTGATATTGCTGTAAACAGTCTTCATGGGCAAATCTGTCTGGGCCAGGAAGTAGGCAAGGTAGTGGCCCTTCACTTTTTCGCAATTACTTTTTTTCGCTGCTTCCCTCAGGCGCTGGTCAATGTGACCTTTAGCTGGAAAAGTAGCACAAAGGCGCAGCATGTGAACGATTTGGAACACTATGAGGACACCTGATTGATTGAAATGAGATACGATACAACGCTGCTTCCCAACATTTCCGCGGCACATGTCGCGATCTCTCACAGCACACTAATGTATCGCAGTAAAATAGTTGGTAATTAATGAGATAGGTGATATTCAGTTTTGACTGAGACTGTCAGAGAAATTTTCATTTAACTTTAAACAAAATTGTTCGCAGTGATGTAGAACTGCAGTGCAATGTAAGGTCACTTGTGTAGGTTATTTTTGGCTTCCCTTTTTGGCAGCCTGAGAAGAGCAACATTTCAAACTGCGTCTGAACGAGTACCTCTTTGACGTCAGTTAAAACTGAAAGTAATTATTTTTGTAAAAGGCCCATTTTCTGCACAGCTCCTGTTTTGGATCTCATTATTTTTGAGCAAGTGTAAAAAAAAAACCAACGTGGTGGCGATGGTTATGAACCACTCTCGCCTTTCAAGAATTACGTTTGCTGTACAGCCAATGAGTGAAATTGTAGTTTATTTACTGATAAACAGAATTGAAATTGTAATTCTTAATTTAAGGAGAAAAAGATGACATCATGAATCATAATCTATCCTTTACATTCCCATATTTTGTAGTGCGTGCAGTTTGAAGACTATAATCTCTGGCTCGCTGATCTTCTTTGGATGAGCGTGATTATTTTAAACATGTTCGATGTTCATGTTTGGATTCCTCAGATGGGCATGCATGTGTCGGAGCAAGGGTAGATAACAACCCAGCTCTCGGTGGAAAACAGCAATAGCCAAATGGGAGCTGAGGAGCACGCAAGAGAAATAATTACACAAAGTGGAAACGTTGATTTTCTTTAACGATGTTTCGAAACTTCATCTCGAGCTTCACACAACATACCATAAATGCTGATTCATCCTTTTTTGATAACATGATTTGATGATTTAACATCATTTCGTCCCTCGGCAGTTGCGTAATCTCAAAACCCCAAAGGAACCTACCAAATTCAAACATGTTGTCCCAGCACTGACAGAAGATGTCCCAGGGTTTGGGGAATAGCCAATGTAACCATTTTGGCATGACCATGGTAAGAAGCGTCTTTACAAACATAGTGTTGATGGACTCGATGAAGAGCTCTGTTTCTTTTGGAACCACTGGCTCCAGGCAGCCGATTCTGGACTCAAACAACACGGAGGAGATTCCTGTCAAAAAAAAAAAAAAGAAAAGAAAAAGAAACCTCAAGTCAAGACCTGTCACTGATACAAAACTACATTGGCACAGAGCAGACAGCAGGTGATGAATGGTTTGATGGCCACTCAAATGTGATGAAACACTTGTCATTAATCATCTCGTGGTCCAAAAAGTATTGCGTGAGAGATTTACTTTTGAGTCGTTAGGATTTTTTAAGAGCTCATGTGACAAGATAAACAGTAATCTCCACTCCATCGCGAGAGGTTACATTCCAGACCACCTTCGCAATCAGTGAAATGGACTCTATAGGCATGTTTTTTTAATGGCATTCACCACACTGAATTACAAAAAAAAGACTTTTAGAATCATACAAACACAACTAATTTGACAAACAGTTAATTTTAACAAAGAGTGAAACGATGTACCATCCATTTGCTAATCCGCATATCCTCACGAGGGTCGCGGGCGTACTGGAGCCGATCCCAGCTGTCTTCGGACAGTAGGCGGGGTACACCCTGAACTGGTTGCCAGTCAATTGCAGGGCACCCATAGACGAACAACCATTCGCGCTCACAATTTAGAGTGCTCCATTAACCGCCGCAGGCACGGGGAGAACATGCAAACTGCACACAGGAAGGCCAGAGCCAGAATCGAACCCTGCAGCTCTGTGAGGGGGGACGTGCTAACCAGTCATCCATCGTGCCGCTCAACTTTCTGGGTTCACATTAAAAAAAAAAAATCTTGCAACAAACTTAATTCATCATCACGCAATATAAATCAACGATCATGCCCAAAGATATACATTATTAAGTGAACCTATAGCTGTCACTGTCTGTAGGCCTAAAAAGCAGGATTACAATGGAGGACATAACTGTAGTGAAATACAAGCTGTCTCCAAATTTGTAGGCTGCATCCTCCAAAGGCAAAATTTGTCTGCCTCATGACGTAACTTCTGGTGTGCTTCGACCACGCGCCGGTGTCGAAATTCACACGACCTTCAAACCCAGCCTTCAAATCTGGCCTCCATTCCCGTGGAGACAGGCCCTGAGCGAAGACATCTTAAGGGCACACTTTCGTAGTCTACATTGCTCTATTTTTCTTCTACACTGCTCCTTTTCTATGCGTAACACCAAAAAAAAAAAAAAAGTTATTACCTGTACACCCCCCGCCCCCCCTGCAAAATAGTAGGAGTGTGAACCTGGAATCCACCATGGGGTGGGGTTACTGTATTATACTTCAGTTATCTATAACATGATGACGCTACATCAGTGAAGAAGTGAAAAAGAAAATGGGTCATGTAAGGCTTTACCATGCGCACGTGTTTCTACTAACTATCAGCTTTGTCACGAAACAGTCCTCCAAACTCTGTTGAACCTCACCCTCGAGGCCGAAATAATAGAACTCCCTTGCGATGTCAGTCACGAGGCCTTCGGGATGTCTGCGGAGGCGAAGTTTGGCGATGAGGTCACTGACCACACCGTTCAGGGTTTGGTCGTATGCTTCGACCGCCTTGGGCCGCAGCATGTGCTTCGCAAGGAGGCTTCGAACCTCCTGCCACTCCTCGCCTTCACTGAGCACAACACAAATCAACATCATTATTAATTATCTATTGGGATTGTATTAGGCGAGAAAAAAAAAAAAGGAAAGTGACAGACACCAAGCATGTTTCCTAAATAATGAAGGCGCCATCTCATTTTTACCGTGTGGGGATCTGCAGTGGCTGAATTCAAGTTGGCTTTACGACTTGATGAGATGCAAGTTTGTACAGAAGACACAAAAAGGAGGTTTGAATGTTCAGTTAGCAAGGCCCACACACTTAGATCTCACCCCGAATTAACAGAAACTGTGTATATTCATGTGAGCATTCTGTATTTCCCAATAGTGGCCAGTAGTATTACTTCCGTTAACGAAAACGAAACTTTTTGTCAACACACATTTTTCACCGGACGAAAACTGGACTAAACGAGAATAAAATCTCTCAAAAGAACCAATAACTAGGACTAAATAAGAAATCATTTTTGTGGACTAATGAAGACGAGACGAAAATGTATTTCACTCATTCACTCCCAAAGACGTTTTTAAACGTCTTTTCAGACTTGGTCCAGAATTGGCTGGTACTGAATGAGTTAAGTAAAGAATGGGCTAAAATCCATGGACATTTTAGTTCACGACCAAGTTCTCGCTTGATTCACGGCAAAATAATCCTAGGTGGAGAGTTCTCGCGCGATTCATGGCCATGCTTTGCATGGGGCCCACGAGAAAGAGGAGATGTGATGTATGGACACATTTTCGTCTCATAGAAGAGGACAAAAAAACAAAACAAAACAATCATTCTGCTTGATTTTAGTACAGTGTCGAAGGGTTAGAATGTGGGCACAAGGTAACTGGATAAAACACGACTTAAGAGACACGCTGCAGGTCGGCACAAAGACATTGTGGTACGCAAAAAGTTTGGTGGTGCATGTTTATTATGTAACATTAAATCAACAGGTATAATGCTCCAACAATAACATGGCTGACTTACTAGCTTGTAGCATGTAGCGATAGTACTGTAGCCGCTTTTTGATATCATGTGTGTGACGTTGATTTTGTTACACTTAATTGAAAACTTTTACCTACATTTTAATCCATGAAATGTGTATGGACATGAAAATATAATAAAAGGGTCAAATGATTGTCCTGACTAAAACTAGACGAAAATGTTGACAGTTTTTGTTGACTAAAACTTGACCAAAATAAAAAAAAAAAACTAACAAACACGATTGAAATTGGAGAAAAAACTGAGACTAAATTTTAAAATGGGTGATAAACTTAACACTAGTGACCAGTGACAGATACCACCGGACCAGGCGTCTATTTGAAGGTAGGATCTATTTGGGAGGAGACCGTAATTTGTACGAGAAAATTGTTACTTCCATGTTACAGTTGGAACGGAACGTGTGACTACCTCACATTAGCATTTTCTATTTGCATGTCGTTTTATTTTTGGTTCCTATCAATAATTCAGAGCGGTTTGAGGCGGAACTAATTGTCGCCTTACGTAAATTTCCGCATGGTCAACTATGTCATGACAAGCGCGTTGGCAAACTTAGGCCTATTCATGCACTTGCTGCAAGACGTTTTTGTATTTTGTTTGTTGTCTATGGTGCTTTGTGTCGAAAAAGGCTCGTGGAGGTCATCGGGGCAACTTAGTGGCACAACCTTCTGTTTTCCCCCTGGGTGAACTGGATGGCATGTAGCCTTCTGTAATGTCATTCACCTTAATTTGACATTATAAGAGCACTTACGATGTCAACAGTCCATAGTGTTGACCTCTGAGCTTCCTGTAGTCCTTCCAGGAGGAAAGGTCAGAGCGCATTGGGCGCTGGCCCTCTTGCCTCAGCACCTGCTCAATGAGCGCCGGATGAGCCACATGGACCGTCGTGATGGGGCCGAAGCTCGCCTTCCACATGGGGCCGTACCGCTGCACTCCCTCCAGCTGGGACGTGAAACATGAAACTAGCACGCTTGTGTGCATCTGGAGGTTTTCCAGCTAAAGATAGTGACTTCTCTGACATTATTCCATGGCTACTGAGAATTGTCATTGTTCAGCGGCCACAGCAGCTCTATCCAACGACACAAACGTTTTAGGCATTCTTCATGAGAAAATGTCATACTTTTGAGTTTTTTTGTGAAGGTGGTGAGGGGGGGGGATTTTGCAGGACTGCACAATGTAGACATCAGAGTTCTGAAAGGTCTATTTTTTTTTATTATAATTACCTGCCTAAAGCCTTCAAACATCTTTTTCATTCCCTGAGGCAAATTTTTGTGTCGTTTAAGAATTCACACATTTTATCCCAGGCATGTATTTTTAATATTTTTTATGTTTTTTTCACGTGGGAGGGTAAAGGAGGATCTGAAAATGGCTGGCATTGAACGAGTTAAAGTTATGGTTCTGTTCGTACATAATAAAAAATGGAATTTAGAGAATGTGCATTTCACCTCAAAAGTTCCTGTGTACTAATTGGAAATGAGAGTTGTTGGCACATCACTGAGGAGGGGCACAGTTCATCCAGTGATCAAAACTTAAGAGCATACAGTAGGTATGTAGTCTTCTTGGCAATAGCAAATTGGCACACCTGCACAGTGGTATGCAAGATACAAGAAAATGCTCTCCTAAACATGGTTTATTTTTGGCTGTCAGTAAGTGATTATCCAACAGTGAGTAGTTGTTAAACTGCATGAGCTGGTAATTTGATTTTTAGCAAGAGCGTATTAGACACAACTCTTTATGATTAAATCATGCAGCTCTAAACCTCCGCAAATCACATAAAATAGAGCAGCACTCTTGTTCAATTATTATTTCATTGAATCACAACTGAGGATCAGTATTTTTATAGGCACGATCCTTGATACAGCCAGAAAGTGCATTTGGATTTTGCATTTAAATGAAAGTCGATAACCACTCGTTTTCAAGAAATAACCAAAACACTTAACACATAATGTGGTCTATTTGCATAATGCAATCAAATAACCCCGCTGCTCTTCTCTTTGGTTGCAGTCATGTGGAACGTGCTCCTACCTGTAACTGGTGCAACTTGGACAGTCCCCGGCGGGCGAATAAGTCCCAGGCGAAGCCGAGCACCGACGGGCCGGGCATATCGTCCAGGCTCCTCACCGTCGTCCCGTCCGGACCGGCCGCTGCCCCCTCAGCCCACTTTTCCGCCCACTTGAGGAGGGGAAAAGCGCTCCGGCCGGACACTCTCAGAGCTTGCTGCAGCATCCTTCTCACAGAGATCATGGAGCGGTCGCCGCGCGCCGATGCTCATTTTCTCTCCCCCGCCGGTCTGGAGGCTCTATTTATAACCCCGCAACCTGCTCCTCGAACCCGCGGAGATAACGCGGTACATTTTCGGATGGGGGGGGGGGGCAATCGTGGGTGTGTGTGCTGCCAAGGTCCCGCCTCCGCCTGGATGAGACGATGGCGCATGGAGGTGTGTCCAATCATCGAGCCGAACGAGGACCATCCCCGTGAGGCAGCACACGTGGAGCTCCAGGATAAATAATACATGACTTACTTGCTAGCGTGTGTCTGATGATGATGGGGGGCTGGAGCGAGAGACACCGGCTTATCTCGAGCACTGAGACCCCGGCTTATCTCGAGCCCTTTGCCCCCCCCCCCCCTAGACCCGCAGGCTGACACATTTAGTTATCACGCATTTGTGCATTAAGGCCATTCAAGGCGAATGTGGTGAAAAAAAAGGGCTCGCTCATTGGGACGCTACCACTGCAGGGTGCCTGTTCACACTGGAAACGTTTGACCCATTTGCAGATTGGTAACATACAGAAAGAACCCCTTTTGATGTTGGGAAAAAAAGATATAAACAAACAAGAACAATGACAATTCTAAATCAGGTACGCCACGGTGGGAAGTGCGTAAAAATTCAAAACATAGCTTAGCTTTAAATGCGTTTAGGCAGCATGGGTGCATATGTGGGATGATGTTCTTCCACTAACTTGTACATTTTTGGCAAACATCCGCTGAACAAAGTGGGGCCTTTTCACTGTACAATAAATTAAAGTAATACATTACCAAGCAACACTTTTTGTCTACACTGTAAAGAGGTCACCAAAGGGGTCCTTGGGGGTCACAGGTGGCCCCCAAGGACCACGTGAGTAGCCCACTGGCCTGTTCCAAGAATAGTGCAGCGATGATGGGAGCATTGTGATTTCCTAGGAATGTTGTATAAGTGACCATTTGAAAAATGTACATTTACAGAAAATAAGTGTTGCATTTGGGTATTTTTGTTCTTAATTATTAGTTAAATCATCAACAAGATCAGTGTCTTCAGATAAATGAATGGCAGGGAGCATGGAGGGGGCATAAAATGTTTTCTATGCGTAACAGAAAATCATTGAGAACCACTGTTGTAGATGGATAGACTAATCGATATAACACTGTTATTGTTGGCCTCGTAGTTTTGGGGGTCAGAGTGTCAATCCTGAATCCAGCCTTCCTCTGCGGCATGTGCACTGTTGTCCTCGTGCTTGCCTGTGAAAAGTCGCATTAATTCAGGTTATTGCGTTCTCAGGACAAAGAATCGACAGCAACTAGAACTTCATCAGTTCATGCACCGAGGCTAGGCGGGAAAGAGAATACTGCATTTACATTTTTGTCCTCAGGAGTTTTACATATTTCACCTGGAAGTTTTTCTATTTAACATGAAGAGTTAGTCTGTGTTGCGACACGCGTCCGCTCAGTGGTTCCTTGGTTTTCACAATATACTGTATACATCAGTAAATTCTTCAACTGCACTGGACAGCTCAGAGCAGATTCTCAGTGTTTGCTTAGGTTGTCTCCAGAGACCCTGGTTTCCCCCCCTCATTCCCAAAACATGCATTCTAAGTTCACTGAGAATTGACAATAGTTGTAAATGTGACTGTGAGTCGTTGGTTGTTTCTCTGCTCCACGATTGACCGGCAACCAGTCCAGGTACAACCCGTGCCTTGTTTACAGTTAGCTGGGACCCTAATGAGCACTATATAAGAGAAATGGATTCAACCATGAAACTCACCTTCATTATTATATGTTTTGAGAACATATGCGGGCGGCCCGGTATACAAGTGGTTAGCGTGTTGACCTCACAGTGCAGAGGTACCGGGTTCAATTCCAGCTCCGGCCTCCCTGTGTGGAGTTTGCATGTTCTCCCCGGGCCTGCGTGGGTTTTCTCCGGGTACTCCGGTTTTCTCCCACATTCCAAAAAACATGCATGGCAGACTGATT